TACAACAACAACACTAAAACATAGCTCTCATCTTCTCTCAGTATGCCCTTTGATTTAGCTGTGTGAGTGTGCGTATGTGCGAGTGTGTGTTACCTGCTCAGTCTTCCTCGTGATGAGGTTCCCAATGGTCTTGCTGAAGAAAGATGCCAGGAGGGGGTTAAGTGGGGACGGCTGCTCCAGAAAAGCATACAGAGTTTCCAGCAGAGGCTCCTCATTACCCAGCTTATCATTGATCACACCCACATCAGATGTCAATAGCTCACATGCTATATTTGGATACCTGTTATAAATGAAGGGACCATGTAAAAGGTGGGTTGAATACTATGCTGCATACAAATGGAACAAGTTTTTATTTTCACAACATTTGAAAAAGGTTGTACTTATGTATCTCATTTACACTTGTAAAAGATGTTCTTAGTTATGTAAATGTATATAATGTATGTCTGTGAATGATCTGTGTGTCTGTCCATGCTCAAACTGTATTGGTACACAAAGTTCTCTAGCAAGTAAATATTTATTATTCAAAATGCATTGTCAATGGATGGCTTAAATAGTTGAATCAAGAACCTGAAGCCACTATAGTTCTCATCTTTACTACAAAATGGCAGGTAAGATATATGACTTAGTGCAGCCACAGCAAAGCACATCCTTTCCAGGATACAGTACTACATCAGCACATTCTAGCACCTACTTGAAGCGCTTCATCTCCTCTACACCAGCAGGGGGCTCTGTAGTAATCATACGGACCAAATCCTGCATGCACTGGTCCTGGCACATGAACAGGAGAAGTCTAAAAATCCATAATGATGAGAAAATAAGCAGTAGTTAGCACAAGCAGGGATTACTGGAAACTGAAATGTAATAATATCATATTGTGCTGATGTGCCAAAGTAAACAATAAACTGACCTCCTGTTCTGGGCCTTGCACTCCTGCAACACATCTTCCTCGTCCATGAGCTCACTGAGAGTGACATCCTCCTTGTCGAGTAATGCCTCCAGGTGAGAAGATGTGTGTAAGTCAAACTTCCAAAACATGGCTGACGTCACTGGCACATACACTTAGCTGTTGATCAAAAGAGGATGTGACAGGGTGATCAGTACCATGCAAAACACATGTTTTAAATGGTTGCTGTTGCTGGACAGTTACTTTTGTGATAAAATATGATTACATGTATGTATGCTCTTACATTTGGACAAAGAGTAGTATCCCCAGACAGAGGTTGCTAAACAGCTATTCGCCTCATTCACATTGCATGGCGTGGACATCTATCAGCATCAGCAAATTCGCACAATGTAGACATAAACACAACCACTTCATTCAACCTGAAAATGAGAAAATAATGATCAACCATTTTACAGAAATACTTCGAGGATGACTTGCTCTGCCTTCCTTTTAGCCTGAAGAAGAGTTAAGTCAGCACATGTGCAATGATGCACTCCTCACTGGAGAGAGCAGGAAGCAATGCATCTGCAATTGAATTACCACTGAACATCTGTGTATTAACAATATTGGGCTTGCTTTGATAATATCCTCACACATACAGTTACATCATCAAACGATGACTGGCCTGAGGATAATAACAAAACAAACCCCTGCAAGAAGACACTTTTTATAGTTTTATAGATTTGAATAATTGAGAAAACAAATGTGTCAGCCAATACATTGGGAGAGGATTATTGAGGCATGCATTAGCTGACATTTATGTTACAGAAATGATCTGTCACAGGCCAGGCATGGGGGGGGGGGGTCAGAACATTACACCCCCATAACTAAAGCAGACCAGAGACACACCTTAATAAAATCATCAGGCCATCATCTATTGATTTAAACAGTTGATCACCATGATGCACATGATGATGCTTATCCAGCCTGTGCTTGTTTAAATGATGGTCTTATCTTATGTAGCCTACTGCAAAGTCAGAATTCACACACTTTTAGAACATTTGTAACATGCTCACAGTGTAAAATCAAGGTTGATTATAATGCTCATTGACAAGGCACCATTCAAATTGATTGCATAACAATAACGATCTGTGAGTATGATGCCCTAGTATACACATCCCTTTAATAAACATGTTGAGGATCAACAAACAGGTGTTTATCGTTCCAGGAATTGAACCTTTTCCCAGAGCTAGACATTTAATTCCATACAACAACACAACCATTGTCAGCTTAAACACAGGCCTTTCTAGCGTCCTATGATCAGCTGGGAAGGGGTACTGTTAGCTAGCAACATATCTTAGTAACAACAAAGTAACAGCAGTTATATCACCCTGCATTGAGGTCACCTATCTTATCCAGACAGAACCTTAACATAACGCTGTATGAAACTAATCCCCTGTAACCAATCTTCTCCATCCTTGCTTTTACAGCTGGTGCCTTTCACTTACCCTGCACACAGGTCGTAAACCAGCCCGCTAGCTGTGTCCTAACCGTGTTGCTAACGTTGCCAAAGTATTTAAATACCGCTACCAATGTAAAAGGATGTCTGTATTAGCTCAAAAGCTAACATTGGTCAGGTACTTAACACGGCTGCGTGGTTAGGTGGGATGATGTCCTCCTTATTTAAGACCTAGCGGTACTGTCCTTCCGACCACTTGATAGCAGGGCAGCTCGTACCGGGAATATATTATGTTACTAAGGTTTTGCTCCCAAAACACAAACAACTTTTACCTTGTATCCATCATATTGGCCATCGTCATCTACAAGCTGAACGGAGACTCGGGCTGTCAGGTCATCCAGAGGCCCATAGCTGGCTGTTCATGACTGCGTTGTTAGCTTGAAGATGCTACCGGTTGCAATGTCATCAACACTGCCGTTACACGGAGCTTAGCCTGCCGAGCGGCGAAGCTGATCTATGGTGTGTTGACAATGTCCAAATTACACTTCAGCAGGCAGGCAACACAAATATCTGTCAGATTTGCAAATCAAAATGGCGGATACCTAAAACGTAATCAAAAGTTCAGCTGTCCATCAACTGTGTAAACATAAAGACCAACTCCGGGTTTATTTATTGCTCCCTGTAAGAGTGCTGCCAGGAAAAGGTGGTACTGCAGATTAATAACTCTCAAACAAAACATTAACATGAAAACATTCAACATAATTAAGAAATAAAATACCTTTAATTTAAAGAAAATTCAATAACACATTTTTACTTTACAATAATTGTCTTCGGTCTTGATCTGGTCTTGATACTCTAGCCTTGGACACTTGACAGCCTGTTTAGTGTTTATGGACTGTCCCAAAGCCCAGGGACCAATCTGAACCTTGAATATTTACAAATTATTTTCAATGAACAAAATCAGCAAGTAATACACATTTGCGACCTATTCAAGGATCATAAACAGCCATGGAAAAAGGATATCTCAAAAATAGTGTTCATCACCTGGTGTATTGGGGACCCCATGACTCTGTCGTCCCCACGTCCCCCCCCCCCCCCCCCCCCCCCCCCCCCCCATGCTGCCCTTGAACAGGACTTTGCCCCAGTTTCAGGTTACAGGTTGTCCCATTCATTATTTTTACCATTATGTGCATTTGCAGCTGCACTGTGGAACTGTATCATCTGGTAATCACAGAATGTATACCATATATTTGCTGAAGAGATAATCCCTGAGAGTCCAGGTACTTTGTCTCCTTATAGGTCAGTGGAAGTAGGCTATTCAGATCATTTACTTATGTAAAAAAAGCAATCCCACAATGTTGAAATACTCCACCCCAAGTAAAAGGCAAAAATAATGGCAAAAAGAAATAGAGAGTAATGCAATTTAAATATCAACAGGAAACGTTTTCATTAAACAGAATGGCCCTGTGAGAGTTATAGGCTATTAATAAAATATGGGATCATAATAATGCATGTAATACATGCAAGTAGTAACCCACTTTAATATTGCTGTTGATTTAAGTGTATCACATTTGGACAGCTGTATGTACTTTGTGGTCGTTCAATTAAAAACAAATACATATTTTATAAACCGATATGTATGTAACTAACGCCTGATGATAGCTGGGAAATATTATTACATAAGTCTTTTTTTAAATAGGTAGTGTCTTCCTCTCAGGTTGCTAATCTAATTGGTAAATATAAATGTCCAAGCTTCATGTAACAAGCAGAAAACAGGGGCTTTATGTTGTGATACAAAGTCTGGCTGACACCAGATATAATATTATAAGCATAATTAAACCACAATTCATTTCATGAAAATCTCCTGGGATGCTGGCAATGTCTCAGGATACCGGTTGGACCTTATTTTGGCGCCCCTATGGAATGGGCCTTTAAATTCACCTACTTTAGTTAATTAAATGCTGAACTTCTTCAGATGGAAATTCCATGATTTGGGTATAAAAAGCCAAATGTACTTATAGGGTTAGTCTATTTTAATTCATAATATGACATTATAATAATGAATGTTTTGGTTAAAGGTTTTTATTGTTATATTGAACCTGTAAAGTAGCCTTACAATACTCAGGTTTACTGCCAAGTAGGTTACACATAGGACATTTTTGTCTATTATGGTGCATACATGAATAGCCTACAGTAAGGGGAATTTTGTTATGAAAAAAAATAGCAAATATAGAACTAGGCTTCTACAAAAAAAAATCTTTAAACTAATATTTCGGAAAGCCACAACTATATTTTGATGATAATACTTTTTTTTAAAGGAGCTAAAATCATGAAAATGCAATGGGGTAAAATCAGGTAAAATACTTGATCTGCATTGTGGTGGAATATAATTCTACAGTAGCATGACATAAGTAGGCTACAAACTTAATGTTAAAGTAACTAATATTAAAACATTCCCAATTGGAAACACACAATGTAATTCAAAAAACATTATGAGGATACATTTGACGTAAAAACATGAGCCCAGTAATTGTTTTAGAAATAATGTGGTGACATGTATGTCGTATTATCTGGCAACCCCTGAGAGCTCCAGCCGGTGACTTGCTCTGCTGAACCTCCGCAGAAGGTCTTTCTGTGTGTGTGTAGCCGGTTAGCATCATGGCGAACGTTGTGGATACTAAGCTATACGACATCCTCGGAGTTTCAACATCTGCCTCTGAAAATGAACTAAAAAAGGTACGTACGTTACCAATTCAAACGAAAAGCAAATACTTTGATCAAAACCGTGTGGATAAAAGGGAGCTTGCCATTGAAATGTGGCCTGTAAACAAGCTAATCAACGTGAGCTAGCTAATGATTTTAGCCGCAGCTAGCGGGTTTGCTAGTCTAGCAAGTAAGCTAAGCTAGCTAGATAAGGATTCTGTACTCCATGGCACGGCATTTTTTGAAGACCATTAAAGCTACTTATTGGTGGTTTTGAAAGGTCAGCAATGTTTGGGATGTTCGTAGTGTTAAATGGCTGTAGTTAGCCTGCCCGAAAAACAGGAATACACTGGTCACCACGAGTGTGATAGCCTACCGGCTATTGACGTCAGATGATACATTCCAGCAAATAGCCTTAACCAAGTCGCGCTGAAATTCAATTAAGTAACGTCTAAACAACTCGTCTGAAATAAATAAGTAGAGAATAAACCGTTTGGTGTAACATTTATTGACGCTAAACTTGGCTTGAGTAAACGTTTATCGATACACATGCGTGTTGGTTACCACGGATGTGGTATCTAGATAACGTTAATGTCACTCGACGTAAGCTAACGTTAACGATATACGTCTCTGTTTACCGCAAAGTCCATTCAAAATCAGTCAACCAGGGGTTGTTTATACTCATTAAACGTTAGGCCCTTGCTAACATGACTTGAGACATTTATCCAGATGTTTATTTCTCGTATATTCTTTGACATAAGTAAACCACATGAACTAACCTAATGTTAATGTACGTGAAGACAAACGCCCATCCATGTGTTTTTGTCTTCCAAATAAATCAGCATTCAAGGTGGTTGCTACAACCGACAGTGTGATTTACTTTCAAAACGTTTTTTTGTCAACATGAAGTGCTTTCAGATTTATGTCAGTGAATTCTCGATTTGCCAGAAGACCATGATAGTTGTGTCTTGTCAGTTAACACAAAAGAAGGGTTTCGGATGTCGTTTTGTTGTCTTGCGCTCAAGTATTTTGAAGTATAGTATAAGTGTCGAAGATGTCAAAGGCGGCGATGCTCTTCCCAGTGTCCTGATGTTTTTGACAGCAGGCCCGCAAGTCAAGCCCTTGGCTAGCGAAGGATATTTAATAGGCCTACATTTAGTGATTTGCTAGCAGAGCTAGTTGGCACATAGATCAGCGAGTAAACACAGATTGGTTCACTTTGATGTTTGGTTTATTACAGGCCTACCGCAAATTGGCCAAAGAGTACCACCCTGACAAGAACCCCGACGCTGGAGACAAGGTAAGATGCACCAAAGCATTTCATGTTAACAGTAGCACCATCATAGTTAGCACCAGCAGCTCCATTATTCAACAATTGGGACCTTAGTTTATTATGATCACACAGCCTACCTCTTTGAGTATTAAGACAAGGTACAGATCAAAGTACAGCATATGAAACGGTATTTCCCTAGTGAGTGCACATCCATGTTTGATTTGTACTTCTCGATGACTTTATTTGACACATTCTGCAAGAACATGACACAAGAGACTACACTGTATTTTTTGTTTTCTTTTTACTCTGTCACAGAGGCTCATCAAAAACAAAACGTGGGCCTTTTGCTGTGATCTACTGATTTGTTTGTCTCCTGTCAAGCTTTCTGATTGCTTCTTTGGTTTTGTTTTCCAGTTTAAAGAGATCAGTTTTGCATACGAGGTTCTGACAACCCCAGAAAAAAAGGAGCTTTATGATCGCTATGGAGAACAGGGGCTACGGGAAGGAGGTGGCGGAGGGGCTGGGATGGACGATATCTTCTCCCATATTTTTGGCGGAGGACTGTTCGGGTTCATGGGGGGACAGGGCAGAGGACGCAATGGAGGCAGGAGGAGAGGGGATGACATGGTACACCCTCTGAAGTAAGTGTGTTAGATACAAACAGTTTGGGTACTTACAATGGGTGTTTCTAATTGTGTTGTTGAACTCATCTTATCCATTTTTGTCACTCAGAGTTTCTCTTGAAGACCTCTACAATGGCAAAACCACCAAACTGCAGCTCAGTAAGAATGTTCTGTGTGGTGCCTGCAATGGGTGAGTTGCTTTGAAATGCTTCAATTTAATCATCACATGATTGGAAACTAGTTTTAATCGCAGCAATTATAGACATTCCTGTTAACAATGCCGCTGTTTCCCTTTTTAGTCAGGGGGGTAAGGCAGGAGCAGTGCAGAAGTGTGTGGCATGCAGAGGACGAGGTATGAGAATCATGATAAGACAGCTGGCCCCTGGGATGGTCCAACAGATGCAGTCCGTCTGCACAGACTGCAATGGAGAGGGTACTTATATCTGTTAACACTCACACACGTGCTATACTTTAAATATATACAGATATTTTACCGAAATGAGCACAACGTCCCTCTGAAATCGTCTCATCTCTGTATGTGTGCAGGTGAGGTGATAAATGAGAAGGACCGATGCAGAAAGTGTGAGGGTCATAAGGTGAGTAAGGAGACCAAGCTCCTGGAGGTGCATGTGGACAAAGGCATGAGGCACGGACAGAAGATCACATTCACTGGGGAAGCTGACCAAGCACCAAACATCGAACCAGGAGATATAGTCCTGGTGCTGCAGGAGAAAGAACATGAGGTAAAAAAAAAAAAAAACTGTTGGTTTCAAATAATACATTTATTTATTGTCCTAGATAAGTAAACATTGTTTACAGGATGTTTTTACACTTATTCGATGTAGATGTTAAAATGAAACTACAACAAACCTTTCAATTAAATCTAAATCAGGAATTCCGCCGCGATGCCAACGACCTTCACATTGTCCAGCGCATCGGCCTGGTTGAGGCTCTGTGTGGCTTCCAGATGACCGTCGCACACCTTGATGGACGTCAGTTGCTTGTCAAATATCCACCTGGCAAGGTCATTGAGCCAGGTAAACATGTCTTCATACCACAATAATTGATTTGATCTCTTTTATTAAATCCATGCTCTGTTTTTTTTTTAAAAAGCTAGATTTACACTCTATTAGCCGTTTTTGCAACTAATAAGTCATTTTTATTAATCTCTCACTAACTTTTGATATGATGCCAAACACCTAAAGTGGTGTACATGTATAAAGCATAGTTCTTAATTGCCTGACAATTCTGTTAGCACATGTCACAATGTACATGGTTTGAACATTAAAAAGTCAAAGGTTCTTATTGCTCCTTCCTGCCTTTTATACACTTTTTGTTGATGTGTTTTTGTGGCAGGCTCTGTTCGAATGGTGAAGGGCGAGGGAATGCCTCAGTACAGAAACCCATTTGAAAAGGGAGACCTTTACGTCAAGTTTGATGTCCAATTCCCTGAAAACAACTGGATTAGCCCCGAAAAACTGAATGTGAGTGACTCTCATTAAACATCCTGATTTGCACAATCTTAACTTTATTATTCTTGAGTGATTGTGATGTCATAATGCATTTTGTATTAAACTCGATTGTAATTCTTCAGGAACTCGAGTGCTTGCTGCCTGCTCGCACTGAGAACCCTGTTATTTCAGCAGATGCAGAGGAAGTTGACCTGACAGAATTTGACAAGAGTCAAGGGTCAGGAAGTGGAGCCAGGAGAGAGGCCTACAATGATAGTTCTGATGAGGAAGGGGTTCATCATGGCCCAGGGGTACAGTGTGCACACCAATAGAAAGACTCATAAATACAGATGTGCGCATACATACATGAACGTCCCCCCAGTCCCATTGCTAACATCGTCCAAGACATGACACGCATACATGCAGGTTTCTCTCAGATGTACACAAATACATTTACATGTATATCCACCCTCATCAGTTCCATGGTGCCCATAAAGTCAGTGATTTGCTGGACACGTGATGACCATTTTTGTGTTTATGGACAGTAGTGCTCGTCATAGCATCCAGCAAACAGGTTCATTGAATGAACTTGACTTGGACCACCCTGTTTTCATCCTAGGCTTTACCTTTCACTGTGGGAAACACCAGTCTAGTGTATAAAATGCAAATATTGTTGACTATCTTGTATATGGTGTAGTTTAGTCTATCACACACAAGCGCATGCTGCTTTCTTGCTGAAGATCTTGCACTTGTATATCCGGGGTCCAGACAGGACACTACAGAGAAATCTTGACACCGCACCTGTTCAAATATCAGTGTGTGACTGCTATCAAAGTGCCCTGCTACCATGAGAGCTGACCTGAATACAGCCCTACAAGTTTGTCCTCTGCACAGCCTAGACGCTCATCCTCTAAGGTGACCCGTCATGTTTTGAAATGGGACGGTTTCTGTTAAGTCCCCTGGCTGTCACATTGCTAAAAATATTAAAGTCTATAGTAAAGCTGTCAGCTATGTTTTCTTAGTTTGGAAATCAAACATGCTTTCTTGTTTTTGTTTGAAAGTTAGTGTGTCTGAGACCACTGTGTGTGTGTGGTGTGTGTGTGTGTGTGTGTGTGTGTGTGGTGTGTGTGTGTGTGTGTGTGTGTGTGTGTGTGTGGTGTGTGTGTGTGTGTGTGTGGTGTGTGTGTTGTGTGTGTGTGGTGTGGTGTGTGTGTGGTGTGTGTGTGTGTGTGTGTGTGTAGTGTGGTGTGTGTGTGTGTGTGTGTGTGTGTGTGTGTGTGTGTGTGTGTGTGTGTGTGTGTGTGTGTGTGTGTGTGTGTGTGTGTGTGTGTGTGTGTGTGTGTGTGTGTGTGTGTGTGTGTGTGTGTGTGTGTGTGTGTGTGTGTGTAATGTTCTGGCATATTAGAGCGATAGGTAGTACTGCTTAGTGTTGGACTGCAGTGTGAGTGGACACTATATAGGGTCAATTTTAAGAGGTAAAAAAGCCGAATGTTTATTTGCTATCCATGTAGACATTTCCCTCTGCTCACCAGGGTTGAGAGACCTCCCTCTCTTGCAGGAAAACCACTGGGCCCGCACCAAACCTATGTAATATACATATCTCCCCATCGTAGTGTTGTTAGCCAAACTTACATCCTTTGACATGTTAAAATATTCCTGTCCCCATATACCTGTAAATAGCAATAGCCCGAGTCCAGAGGTGCATTCAAAGTCTACAGCTGTGTCTGTTGTTTGGTCACATTATTTCTTACACAAGCGAGTAATGGCCAACAGTGCCAATATAAATGGTATGTTCACATATAAAAGAGTTGATGGAACCTCTGTAGACTGTAAACATGCACCTGTGGGACTCATTGTGTATGCAACTAAAGGGGGGGGTCATTGATAAATGACATTACTGTTGATGCTTATGTTTGTCGAGATGATAATTAACTGTATAATAAACAACTCACTTCAAATTTGACATCTGTCTTATTTCATATGAACACAACACATCTCTCACTTTGTGTTAATACCGGAATGCAACAAAGTCTGAATTATACTTGCACACATCAGAATAGTATCTGATCATTAATCTGGGCACACTCCTTGTTCAATTAGAAGTGAATTCAAGAATCTGTAGTTCCTCAGTCTGCTCCATCATTTGGTTGTCTGCTGTGGAGAGCTACTGGACCCAGAAGTTCCTTAAATCCTGCAGTGTTCCTAGAGGATACAGACAGGAGGTGCTGGTAAACATATTGCTACAGTGTTTTGTTTAAACTTAGTCACCCGGGTACAAAATATCATTGTTATACTATATTCACCCAGGTGTGAATCGCATCTGTCGCTTACCTGGCTCGTTTGGACTGCATGACGTAGGAGCGCTCTCTTCTCAGCTGCTCCAGTCGCTCTTTGACAACCGTCTTTTGCTGATTCTTATCCTCCTAAAACGCAATACAAATACTGATAATAAATAAATGGGATACAACTATTCAGATTATCTCAATATACAGCATTTTACCTGTGGGAGATCTTGTGTGAGGTGCCTTAGCCTGTCAGTGTGTTTCAAGCCAAGCAGGTCTTCCTCTGCCTTTCTGTTCTGGATGATGGACAGATGCTCCTGAACCTAAAAGACAAACTGTGTCACCTTTGTCTCACAACAAAACATCTGAATACTCTTTCAGTGCCCCCTTTCCACCTCTCCTTATTGGGTAAAGTTGTGCTAAAATCCCTCCTCAGCTTTCTCTCACCCTCAGTAGTTGTCTCTCTTTATCTCTCTGCTGCCTCTGTTCCACCTTTCGTTGCATGTCCACCAGGTTGCGCATTGTCCTTTCTCTCTCCATCGCAGACACAGGCTCTCTTGCTCGCTCTCTCTCCATCAGTGTGGATTCCCTCATTGCCTCTCTTCCTGCAGGGCTACAGTCAACCTTTACAACAGGAAACAGCAGATGTATGGCACTAAAATAAGTCCATTATGTAAACACTGGTTTAGCAAGTCTGCCCAAAGATGAAACAGAAGACTTACTGTGACTTGTGAGTTGTATTCGTGGTAATCAACATGAGCTGGTTCAGGCCCTCTCAGGTCCCACAGCTCATTGGCACACACTTCCACCTCGAGCATTTCTCTGTCCACATTTGGGGTCTCTTTATTTCCCAGTTCAGAGCAGTAGTCACTAGCATGCCGCTCAACCTCAGGAGGTTCAAAGATGTTTAAAGCCTGCAGGGTCTCTGCTCCCAAAGCTTTTGTTTGCAGGTCACATTCAAAATCTCCTTTCTCTGGTCGATACGTTGTTGCTCTTTCCTCGAAGGTCAACTAATGAGAATTTTAGAAGGGAATACAATCAGATGCATGTCATACAATGTTTTATGATCTGCTCTACACTTAGAGAGTACCTGTTCTACTGTGCTGCCCTGCTGGTCTGCAGACTGTGCGTGAGGATGATCTGTGGATTCAGAGTGGAGCTGAGTGGGTTTCTTCTCTTCTCTGTCACTCTCTGCAGAAGTCTCCTCACCCTGTGTGTGTTCAGCTGTGCTGCTTGTGTCACTTGACTGTACTTCCTGTCTCTGTGCTGCTCCTGCTGCCCCTTCTTCCTCATAGTCGGTCTCTTCCTCTGCTGGTTGGCTCCAAGCAAAGGCGATCAGTGAGCCCTGTTTCTCAAAACTCTGGGGGCCCTTTGTTGCAGCGGCACCTTCTTCCCCCTGGGCTCCCTCGTCTGTGTTGTGAGTATTGCTTGTTGCATCTGATACACACAAGACCTCCAAGTAGGGCAGATCTTCCATGACTGCTCCACAACCTGGGGGAAAGTCAAATGTGTATAGTTGCAGTTTTTAGTTTTTGGTGATCTGTGCATGCCTGTGTCTGCAGTACCTGTACAGACGTCCTGTTGGTCGGTACATTCTGTGGCCTGCACCACCTGTAGGTCACTGATTGAATCCACGCTTGAGGTTTCATCTGGCCCTTTGATGCTGTTTTGAGCATTGCTGCTACTTTCTTTTGAGTTTGGATCAGTAGTGAGTATTGAGCCTGAAGTAAGAGGGGCGTCTGATATCAGTTGGAGGAGGTTGGTGTAGCGCGGTGCTTGAAGTTCAGATTTATATGCATCTCGCAGAGCTTGGACACTCTCTGCACTCTAACGGAAACACATAATTAACAGCAGTTGGTGCTTTATTTAAAGATTGTGTGATCTTTTGATTGGACGCTGTGGTGGTCTGACTCACCTCATCCTTCAGTGCTGGCAGTAATGTGGTCGCTTGGACCTCCTGGAGCTCCATCAGATGGGTCAACAGGAGCAGGGAACACTGCTCCAGCTGGTGTTTGTACCGCACTGCTGTTTGACTGCTTATATGAGGCTGGGGCTGATGGTTTGTTTGCTTTAAGGGGGTCTGAGTGTCATTGCTTGTCTGCAGGCCGGTATAGATTTGTCTCAGCCTTTTTATACAGGCATTTCTCAAAGCAGCTTCCGGGTTACTTTCTGCACAAGAAACAAGAAACAAAAAATGAGAGAAAGCAAGCTGACAAGCATGCAGCAGAAATAGAAGCACATATTGATTTACCCTCCTTTGAAGGCACTGGTTCTTGCAAATCCTCCATGGAGACCCTGTTTGCCAACTGGACCAGGTGCTCTCTCTCCTGATCTTGAATCAGCACCAGCAACTGTAGCACTGCCTGCTGAAACAGGGCCAATGCTTTTGTTCTGATGCTCATACAACTACTGGAGTGTTTTTCTTTCTGTCAATACTCAAGAAACATATACTCAGAAAAGAATATGACTTTAGGAGCAATGATATGACCTGATATGCTGCTCATGTCTCAGAACAAGAAATCTGACCTTACCTGCTGTGGTGACACTGAGATAAAGTCTTTCTTCTGCTCTTCCTCTTCACCGTGTAGCCATAGGGTTGCCTGTTCTGCTCTGCAGGGACTCTCTACATGTGGCCTGAGAAGATATATGTGGGACAGATAGCATACACATGAAGCTGAGTGTGCAAAGTGCATAAAGACATGAAGATAGTAGTGCATCATTTCCTCTTTCACCGTTCACTTTAAGCATTTGCTCACCATGTCTCCCAGGACTGCCGAGCTGCCAGCAGAGCGCTGTAGGACATCTTTTCTCTCTGGGCTCTGAGAGTTGCTAAACTGATGAATAAACACAACAGTCTCAGGCTCTCCCTGTCCAGCCTGGAAGAGAAGAGATTAATGAATAAACTCAGTTTGGACCTGCATGTATTCACAGCCATATAAACCTCACAAGTAATTCCTTGAATTAGTGTTAACTTGTTATACTGTAGGTACAAGATGAGTACATCAATAATTTTAAATGATTTGATATTCTTGACCTACTCCAATGTGTGAGTACTTACCTCTGGCCCAGGACAGTTAGAGTGTCCTTTTCTTGTTGACGAAATGTGTGTAGGTCACACAGGAGCGACACAGCAGACCATGACTGTTCCCTGGACTCAGGAGGGCTTTTCAGGCAGGTCCTGCAGGAGAGTCATTTGTATTCTTGTGTTTATGTTTGATTAATCAATCAATCAATCAACAACTTTATTAATCCCGCAAGGGGCAATTGGTTCTGAGCAGCAGCTTATGTCATGTACACAGGCAGGAACATACAAGGAAGAAAACACACAGAGCGCAGATGTGGATAATTCCAATTTACACTATAAATAATTCAAAGCATCACAATAATAAATAAATAAATAATCAAGTTAAAAGCCTTTTCAAGAATTTTAAAGTTTGAGTGCAGAAGGGATGAATGCTCATTAAGGATACCTGGAAGGAGATTTCTAAGCTTAACGTTAAGTACAATATCTTTTTTTATAAATAACTAAAGGTGCGTTATTTTTATTGCTCCCTGAATAGTCACTTTATTACAAGAAATGTTGCTATATTGGTTTGGATGTTTGTTGACATTTTTGATACTTTATTATTATTTTCTCTTAATTAATAACCTGTGTATTGCAGATTGATTATTATGTATGTCATAATGATGTAAATGATCATTATTGTGTTTTACCTGTATATTCTGAATGCTCCTGGCAGCTCCGACAAACGAAGCATGTCTCCTGACTTCAAAGCCTCATCTGCACGATCTCCTAGCCCCTCCCTTTCCTCATGTTGTTGCCATGGCAGCAGGGTCTCCCAGATACTCAGAGCTGTGGTATCACCAAAAATAAGACGAGGCAAAGGAAAACACAGGAATGTGAAGCACCTGGAGCAGGATTCATGATAAGAGGAAGTTATACTTAGAATTGAAGAGATTGTCTGTGTTATACTGCGGCAAAGGTTCAGAGAAACGTTTCCTTACTGTAGTGCTCCTGCAGCATTTCTGTGTAAAGCAGCTGGGTCACCACATCATACTTCACTTCCACCAAGAGAAGGACGTCTGACGTGGAGACACAGCCCCAGGCCTGATGCCGTACCCCGAGGCTTCTGCCCTGCTGGGGGGGCAATACACTGTGCACACCCTCTGATGTCAATCTAAGAAAAACACAAACACATATCATCAAAACTTATAGAAATGACGAACTTAAGTGTTTAATGGCTAGCTTTTAACATGGAATGAAACTGGTAATGGTTTTTAGTGGTTAAAGGTAAAGGTAAAGTAAAACAGTAAAAGTGTGTGCTTTAGTAAAGATACAACTATATGGCTTTTGACAGAAAAAGAAAAGCAAAACAAATGAATACACTAAGTATGACTATTGGATGTCAAAGACTTTAGGTGGGTTTAGTTGCATAACTTATTACTTTTTCTACTTGTGCTACTTTTTCAATATGTTATAGCATTTGACATTATTCCATATTGTCACTTTGGCCACTACTTCCAATTTCATATATAAGTCATATAAGAAGTAAGCTTGTTGTAAATGAAATCATATCTTACAGTATGTTTAGAAAGTATAGCATACATCTGCACGCTTTCCTGAAACCATCACATAAACATAAAGTAGGCTTCGGAACAATAGTATTTGAGTAACATTTAAAGTTATTTTGGTTTAGATGCTTACCTGGCCCAGCGCTGCCCGGCTGCCTTCCTCAGCCTCTGCACACCTCTCACACTCCCATGCAGCTCTTTTTTTAAAGTATTTGGATCTGTGTTTTGGTGGAGGCATTTCTGCACACAAGGATCCATAATAACTGGTTTGTCCAACATATAGAGAGTGTTGAGATTTCCAACATTCACCAGCTGGAGGTCCCAGTAGAGCTACAGATAACAAAGTTGACACTTAGTAGAGATGACAAAATAATATCATAGTAGTAGGACATTTAGTAAAAGGAAAACTAAATTAATGATTACCTTTTCCTTATTTTCTCTGTCCCTATCCATTTCAAGGAGAACATCCAACACATTTTCACCAACACAAGACCAACTACTATCACCTCCTGCAATCTGAAACAGACACAGGCACAGAGAGATATCCCATAATGACGAATGACATTTGATGAAACCATAGCCGCTTTGTTGTTTAAAATAGGACTATGTTTCTACCTTCTTCTTGGCCACATGTGCTTCATCAGTGTTGGAGGAAAAATGAAACACTTTGAGGTAGAGGAGACTCACATCTTCAGAGGTAAACTCTGCTCCGACAGACATACCCAGTGATCGGTACAGACCGGCGATACAATCCTCAAGAAAAATGCAACAAGGTGAGTTGTAGTTTACACACACAAAGAAAACAGATGCAGTTCTCACCCAACATCAAAACATCTTACCTGCTCCATGTTTTCACCACTGTGGACTGATCAATTATACAGGCTGTTGCTATAGATACAGTTGTCTTCTGGACAACAGCTGGATCAGGTTACCAAGCAACAAAAGTGACAGTGTATCTGTCAGAGTGAGTAATATGATACATGAACATGTGACACTTTACACCTGACTGAAAAGTGTCCTGTGGCATAGCACCAGTAGTGAAAGTTGTCCGATCCCAGCCTGTAAATTGTATATTATGTTGCCTGAGGCATACATTATATAAATTGTCACAGATCCTACTGGTAAATTCATGGTAAAACTGCATTTTATGGGCCTGTCATTTCTTGCAGATTTTTTTAACAATGTCTCATTAGAAATGAGAAATGTCATTAGTAAGCGACATGTCATTGGTATTATAACAACAGGAATTACATTAGTTGATTTTATAAGCAGTTGTTCAGTGAGAGGAATATAGATTAAAGAAGTGCCACATTAAATCCTAGTCAATAATCATCCCTTATTCATTTATTATTTGAAACATTATTCTCCATATGAGTTGAACTTTGACGTCACATCTTTGCAAATCAAGCAAACCTGTTGTGCAGTCACTTAAAGCAGTTGACATTATTTCATTAGAAATGTTACAATTTAACACTTTTACCTCTTTTGTAATTGGAAAAATCACATATTTAATTCGAGGAAACCTCATAGGAAATCAGTTTAAGAAGAAATTCGTTAGCACAAATATTGTGAAGTTTTCGTTTATTCGTACAAAGAAAAGTGACAAAAAGAGTACCTGAGAGTATGAGGATTACTGCATGAACAGTCAGACAACGCACCGTGCTGAAATAAACACGTACAGTAAACAACTTTTGGTAGTAAATAATACTGTTGAAATAATCGAAAGGCTTTGGACAAAATCATGTATAAAACAGAACAGATTAATATTATTAATAATGTGAAATTAAAACATAAAAACCCTTGTGTAGTATAAATATTCAGTGCTACATGTAACAAGATAACAAAGTGGATTAAAAAACACAAAAATGCAGTGGTTTACCTATTTTAAATCCACAGGTCATGGAGGTTCATCTGTTTTTCCATTTTAAAATGCAGTATACAGTAACAGAGGCTTCTGATGTCCTTTCTTTGGATTGAAGATTGTTAGAGGCGGCAGTGCATGTGTGTGTATGTGTGTCCATTTGATAGTGAGCAGTTCAAAGAATTATAGGGCTTTATCATGAATGATCTTGGGACACTTTTCTGGCTGTATGCAGTAGTTGTTGTGTAGAACCAGACCAGCAGGACACTGGCAGCCCGGCACACAGGGCTTGAAGCAGTGGCTTTCTATCACCCCGAGAGGCACGTCAGCGTTAAAGCAGGTTACAGGACAGGGGGGTCCGCACTCGTCAAACACAAAGCCCCTCTTCACTGGACAGCCCACAGCTGTGGAAGACAGTGACAGGGAAAAACAATGTGAGACACTGTGAAGGCTTCAAGGGTGATGTGTGCAACTGCCAGGTAGTTTTATTAGAGGCTTAATTGATGTGAAGGACTTGTTACTTGCACTGTAAATTGTGATTGAGCATTGTATAACAAGAGCAGGTGGACTTTAGAGATTATGAACAAAAGCAGAGCATTAGTCACAGAGTGTGTTTTGAGATTATAAAAAGAAATGATCAGTTATAATGAATATTATTTAACGGCAAGTGCCTACAGTTATAATTAGTTAATTTTGCATAGTGGTTCAGTAACATTTGTACTTATCACCCCTTATCTTTATTATCGTTTACACGATAAGTGTTTAAAGACCCTGAAACTTGGTTTGAAATATAATGTGTTTCATGATGACATTATTTGTTCAAAAAGTCAGGACAGAATTATCTTCCTACTTGCATAACCCTCTTTCACACATGCAATGATACAAATATGACTCATATGAAAACTCCATTAACTGCTCACTGTCACACTAATTATTACCCACATACAGTTTCTGATTAAGAAATTGTGTCATCAGGATCTTAAGTCTTTCTTTTCCTCACCACACAGAGATGGGCCCCTCCATTGCAGGATGACTCCGGCCTCTCTGCACTGACTGGCGTAGGCCTCCAGTGTGTCACACAGACACTCCTCAGTGTTGGCCCCGCAGGCACAGAGGTCGTACACACAGGCTCCGTACCACGGCTCAGGAGGCACCACACGATGGCACGGCTTAAAGACTGCAGACTTCAGCACCTTGCAGCGAGCGTTAGCCCCCTTCTTGGCCTGGTAGCCTGCTTCTTTACAGGGGTCCACATTCTCACCGGGGCGACAGGAAGAGAGGGAGTGGCTACTATTTTTGACCTAAAAATGACAAACTGTTGTTTCAGTAGCAGATAAAAGGCTTGACAATTTATTTTTATTCCGGGTGTCTCTTTGTTTTTATTTTACCCTCCAGCTGTTGCCAAAGTCGGACTCTGATAGGCTGATTCGTCCACTAGGCATGCGGAGGTCATCCTGGTAGTAGTTGTTGAAGTTTCCACACAGGCCACACGTGTGGCCCTTATAGGATCCAGGCACACTCACTTCCAGATGTGAGCGGCCACTCCACAGAACCTAAAAGAGGACCAGCAGGCGTAACTGTGTGACAAACTTGGGAAACAAACGGTTTCCAATCATGTTATACAAAAGACAAAAGATGAAATAAAAATACTGTACCTTCAGGCCGATGTTAGTGTTGAGCAAGATGATGTTGCTTTGTCGTTCTACATAGATGTATGGTTCTCTAAGGAAGGGCAAAGGCACGACCTCACCATTCACCTGAAGAGTAAAAAAATGGCTGAGTGGATGCATAACACCAACATAACTGTTGTTCATTTACAGTAACTGTACACACAAACCTTCACAACCCAGTCCTGGAGTAGCTGCACTGTGACATCTCCGATAAACACAGTCACCTCTTTGGTCCAGGACACTCCTTTACGCCCACGATCATCGTTAGTGGCATGAATACTGATCAAACAAGAATCAGATCAAACAGATCATTTCATTAAAATATTTTTTTACGGGCCGACAAATAGAGAAGTATATGGCTGAACCTGTTCACTCCCATACGGTAAATAACAACTGGTGACCCATCACCTGAAGTCTCCTCCTTCACAGTCCTGGGCCAGGATGTATGTGCAAGCTCCCTGGAAGTGCAGCATGCGGCCATCAAAGGTGCGATAATGAGGGTCTCCGAAGGCAATGCAGGTGGCAGGACGAGGAAGGCAGTGAGGACAGCACAAACCTGGGACAATGGCTGGCATCTCATCCTGAGGGCAAACACACACACACACAGAGTCAGAATAGTGAGGCATTACGGCAACATTTCAGATTATGAGGACTTGTGTGTTTGTTTGTTGTACTGACTGTTGCACAGGTGAGGGGAGGGCAGCGTTCACTGTGACAGTGTACTTCTCCAGACACACACGTACAGCCGGTGCACTCATCCACCTCCCACTGTTCGCTAGCCTGATACACTGTTCCTTGGTACAAACACGACGCCCCTGAGTCTACATCACACAAACACATATATATATATATATACGTTAAACTTAACAGAACAGTACAGTTTTTTGAGTTCACTGTAATGGCTGGCTGGGATACCTTGGCATTCATAGCAGCATTTCCCGGGAATCTTCACTTTCTTCTGGTTATTCAGGCAAAATTCAGGTAAACACTCTTCAATGCTGCACTCAATATAGCCCAACTGAGGATGAAACACAGGAAGAACGGATTCGTTTTTAGAAGTACATGGTCTGAATAGATACAATACTCCTGAAGTAACTGCCATGTCATGTGACCTCCAAATCAATGCAGCATTCTTTTATAACACTAGACAAGTAGGACACACCTCTGTTTATTGGATTTTAGTTATAATTTACCAAGCTAAATATTTTGAAAGGTTTAAATGTAACAATCATTAGTGAAAACATTGCAAGTATTTCTGTGCGACTCACGGTACAGGTACATGTGACGCAGTCGTCATCACTGTCTGTCCAGCTGCTGCCGTTGGTCACGCGTCTGTTCTGACCCTCAATCACACAATCTGTATGAAACAAAGGAGAAGCGTCACAATATTGAATGTTTTAATGCTAATAACAATTACATTGATTTTAAAAGGCAAGGCAAGCAGACAATAGGGAATGTAAAGATGGCAATATCTCACCTTTACACACAGGGCAGCATGAGTCCGGTGAATTAAACTGTTCATTTAAAGGGCAGGTGACGGGGGGGCAGTTTTGGTGTAAGCAGGTCCATGTCAAATCCTAAATCACAGACACAGTATCACTGCACAGAATCACATGGTATGTTGACTGTAGTTAAATAATTCCCAACAACTTAGATCTCAAGGTGCAGAGACGTCAAACTAACTTCCTATCATTTTGAAGCAAAGGAAATGGCAAAAATATGAAATTGTACTTGATTTCCTACAGATGATTCTAGCTTGATAAGATATTTCCACAGCTAAATTGTGTCTGCTATACATGTTTTCATTAAAGGCAATAACAAGCTGTGTCAGTGTTATTCTCTTCATAAATCACTTTATGCATCTTATTACTGACAAACTGTATTCATAACAGCATGTTAAGTGTTTTTGCAGCAGTACCTGGCACTGGCACGTAAAACAAGGATCATCCGTCGCAGAGACCTCGTTGCCAATCAGTGCAGAAGTGCAGTTACTGAGAGGCTCTAAACAAACACACACACATGTTCCAAAGCTCAGTGATAATGCAGATTATACACAGTTAATAAAAAGGCGGTTTAGTACTGACGTGCACAGACAGGACAGCAGGAGTCTGGTCCAGAGAACAAGATGTTGCTCTTGGGACAGTCGACCAGACTGGGACACTGCTTTCGGTAACACTTCAGGTGCTGTTCTCCATCCGGCATCACCTGGGACACACACATAGGTTGGATTAAAACTACCACTAATAATTATACTACTGTCAACAACTACAACCACTATAACCTGTGGATCTCCCATAGCTATCTCTATTACTACTGC